AGTGACATGATGTTACTTCTAGTGTGTCTGTGGTATGTTGACAAAGCAGGGGTTCTGGCCCTAGCATAGTTGTCTGAAGCATGGTTTACAAATGACACTTGATTAAACTCTATGTATATAGATATTAAAATGTATAGGTTAAAACATTATCCACTAAAATCATCCGCAATCTGACTCTTTAATTTTATTGCTGCAGCACAAAAGTTAGCCACTATTAGAGTGATCCATGATTCCCTATCCTCTGTTAGATATTTTAACAAACATGTTGACAAACATGTCCCATTATCCAGATGAGGAGTAGAATACTAAGAGTTGGTAAACATTCCACTCTGATCTTTGTAGGGTATTATTTTTTTCTGCTCCAACCTTCATATTAATGGGCATTGATTATTAAAATATAGGTAAATGTACCTGACATAAAGTCCAGTCGTGCCTGATTCTGGGAGTTGATGCTCATCTCCATTTCTAAACCGAAGAGTCGGCATTGTCCGTAGACACCTCCAAGGTAATGTGGCCAGCATGACTGCACGGGGCGCTGTTCCCGCTGGTGTCTGAAAGGAAACTTCTCTACAGGCTTCTCAAAGGCATCCTGTGATCTAATATGGAATCTGAATTCTGAACATGCCCAGTTCTGATCACATGGTCTGCAGCCCCTTCCACAATAAAGAGGTTAAAGAAAATTGCAAACTAATACACACAGTAAGCAATTATATAGATAACAAGTAACTAGTGGAGGCTTGAGAAGGTTGTAATTTCCAACAAGATAGGGAGCAAAAAATGCAGGGTTTTGCAGCTATTCCAAAAATATAAACATAGCCAGTTTAAACATGCTTATTTAAACAAATTACTAATTCCTCTTTTACAGTCAACAATTATAATAACCATTAAAAAGGTAAGGTAAAGGTTTTCCCCTGACATGAAGTTCAGTCGTGTCTGACACTGGGGTGTGGTGCTCATCTCCATTTCTAAGCCGAAGAGCTGGCGTTGTCCGTAGACACCTCCAAGGTCATGTGGCCGGCATGACTGCATGTAGCCCTGTTACCTTCCCGCCAAAGGAAGGTACTCACATTTGCATGTTTTCGAACTGCTAGGTTGGCAGAAGCTGGGGCTGACAGCGGAAGCTCACGCCGCTCCCCAGATTCGAACCTGCAACCTTTTGGCCAACAAGCTCAGCAGCTCAGCGCTTTAACCCACTGAGCCACCGGGAGCTCCCATAATAATAACCATTAAGGTAGAGGTAAAGGCTTTCCCCTGACATTAAGTCCAGTCCTTTCCGATTCTGGGAGTTGGTGCTCATCTCCATTTCTAAGCCAAAGAGTTGGCGTTGTCCATAGACATCTCCAAGATCATGCGGCCAGCATGATTGCATTGAGCGCCATTACCTTCCCACCGGAGTGGTACCTATTGATCTACTCACATTTGCATGTTTTCCAACTGCTAGCTGGGACTAATAGCTGGAGCTCATGCCGCTCTCCGGATTCGAACCTGTGATCTTTCGATCAGCAAGTTCAGCAGCTCAGTGGTTTAACCCACTGCACCACCGGGGGCTCCTAAATATATTAAAATATATTTGTATGCAATAGATCAGATTCAAAATGTTGGTGAAGAATCATAATTACTTTGAGACAAAGGTCTTAAGTATTTCCAAAATGTTTCTAGCAAGTTGTTTTTTTTTTCTTGCTTGAGGGATACTTTAACTTTTCCATTAATAAAGCAAGCGTCCATGCACTTGGAGTAATTTTGAGCCTGCATTATGTCATGCTTTCCTTAAGGTTCCTCCATCCTCAAAAAACTGCTTAAAATGTATAACCTCAGCAGTATGGGATGTAACCATGTGCTGAAGCTCTCATTTTGACACGTTGCTGACCACATGACATCAGCCTGTGGGCAAATGTGTGTGAAAAATATTCAGCACGTAGGCAGGTTAGAACAAGCATTTTTTGTTGCTGAGACATCAGAATGTCATTGGCATTTATGTGCAGCAGGCAGAAATCCTCTTGTTTATGCAGTATACAAAAGAACAACATCTTTAGACACACAGCATAAGAAAAGGCAGATTCTTCACAGGAATCACATTTTGCCATGCATTATGTGTGAGCAGTGAGTGTGCCAATAACTATACATCATCTGTGTGTAGACAGTGTAATGATAACTTTTAGTCACTAGATGGCACTGATTTTACTAGCTAGTAGGGGTCAAGATTTTCCTTTGGACCTTATCATACTCAAAGTGGAAAATGCTTTTCCTGTAGGCAGCCATGGTTTTGAGGACTTGGTACATACAAACCAGATCACACTTCCCTGTATCTATTAAAATAATGTGCTTTGTCTGATCACATGGCAGATGGATAACTCCTAGGCTTGGTTGATTAAAAAAATGGTTCAAAACTCGTTTTTGGATGTAGGGGGTGCTGGTGGTTCAATTCTAAAGTCAATTCCGATTTTCACAGAAAATTTTTTTCAAAATTTTTCCAAACTTCCGAGACTTCCAAATCCTTTTGTTAATAGTTTGAAAGTGTTATTTCCTGTTTCCTTGAGTGGTCTTTACTTTGAAAATAGATGTTTTACTCCAGAAGCAGGGAAAAGCAAGCGGAGGAAATTCCTTCCTTCTCTGGTTTAAAACTGGCTTCTCTGGCTTGAGCCGAGGCCAGGAAATTCCTTCCTTCTCTGGTTTAAAACTGGCTTCTCTGGCTTAATATGAGGCCAGGGACCAGAAGCGGGGAGTCGTAACAAAATGATGGAAAAAGCTTCGGAAGAGCAAAGGGACTTCCAGTTTGTAAAAAAGCTTCAGTATCGCTTCAGAAAGGTAATTTTAATAAAATTATTACAAGCAACGAGTTATCTGAGCAACTCTATCCATGCCTAATAACTCCTCCTAATCCTTCCAATGTTCTCCTATGTTACAGCTTCTGGATCAAGACTCCAAGCGGGGTAGCCATTATCTTCCTGATTTCCTTTAAAAATCTCATATGTAAAAAAAAGGTCATGAATCAGAGAACCTTCAGAAGCTCTGCCCAACATCACTGCCTTCCTTTTTTGAAAAAAAAATTGTAACCTCCGACTCAACTGGGAAACAGAAAAACATCTTCTAACTAGCAGTTTGATATTGATAGCATGCAATGCGAGTAGATCAAAAGGTACTACCTCGGTAGGAAGATAAAAGGCCACCCCATGCAGATATGCCGGCAAAAAGATCAGAGATGTCTGTGGACAGCAGGCTCCTTCAGCATGGAAAATGGAAATAGAGCATCTCCCCATCGCCGGAAGTTGAGCATTACCTCCAGATGGCGGAGATAGAAAAGGGGGAAGATCTTTACCTTATCTGTGTATTGTATGTCACTCATGTAAAAAGGCATTGAATGTTTGCCTTATATGTGTTCTGTAATCTGCTCAGTGTCCCTCCAGGGAGATAAAACAGAATATAAGATGTACTGCTGCTACTGCTACTACTACTACTACTACTACTACTACTATTATTATTATTATTATTAATATCTTTTTGTTCCTATGGAGCTGCACAGTTCTGACATTTAAACAAAATAATAATAATAGTAATAATAATAATAATAATAATGGAAAATAATAATGTGAAAGTATAAAACACAAGTGGCTTTACTCAGGTTCTTTCTCTGGCTGCAAGTGGAAGTGTACTGCTGGTCACATCAACAAAAATGGAGTGGTAGGAAAGCACGGCACCCAGACATGCTTTGATGGACACATGCCATTGGCACAGCTGACAAAATGCATATGGGAGTAAAGTCACACCTAGAAAGCCATGCCTCTGATGTGCATTAAGGAAAAGCTACAGGTGAAGACAATTTGGAATGCGTCTTTCAAAAATTGCTGGCCACATATCCTTTGCATATTGAGATGAAGTGGGTAGTGCATTGTGTGATCATTTCCATAGGGACTGGTGTGCAAAGGGTGTTATTTCCCTGTGTGATAAGGTCCTTTATTTTGACTTTGTTGAACAGAGACAATATACAGTTAGACCTTTCACTTTGGCAGGTGTTAGGGGCACAGGGCTCTGCAAAACTGAAAAAAAAAACACATGCATTTTAATAAATCTGAGAGAACATCTCTGTAGGCATATCTAGGTCCCCCATCGTGGCTCTATGGTCAACTTCTTCCAGAGGTTGACCATTGAATTGTGCTGGAGGACTTACAAATTTCCTAGAAAAATGTTGATCATAGAATTGTCCTAAAGAATCTAGAGATTCCTAGAAAGAATGTATTAATCAAATTCGCAGCTAATCAAATCTGCAAAAGCTAAGCCTGCAAATATATAGTTTTTGTCCAGCTGCTTGATGAGTGTGCTTTTCTGCCTTCCATGACAGTCCAACCAGTTCTATATGTATTAATGGATTGCTCTCTTATGCTCTCCATTTTGCACAATTGTTTTGTCAATGCTTTCTTATACATCTCTTTGTTGGCAAATGTGTAACTGGCACACTGGTTTTGGATTTCTATATTTCACATGAAATAAAGAGAGCGTTGTTACATCTGTCTGCCTGTTGCTTCTTTTCTATGAAAAGTTTCTTATGCTAAGACCCATTAAGGCAGTGGTTCTCAATCTGTGGGTCCCCAGGTTTTTTGGCCCATAACTCCCAGAAATCAGAGCAATTTTACTAGCTGTTAGGATTTCTGAGAGTTGAAGGCCAAAACATCTGGGGACCCACAGGTTGCGAACCACTGCATTAAGCTATTTTTGGGAACAACCTAGGTTTCTATCTATTCCATATCTGCAATAGGCGCAAAATGGTGTTTAAATCTACATTCATGTTGACTTTGTCATACTACAAAAATCTTTGCCATCCAAACCCCAAGCCCTTTCAACTCTAATATTTTTTCCCAGTATCACCCACTCTAATCCAGATAAAAGAACAGTCTGCAAAATACAACTTCACGAAAATGTTCCAACTTTTGCAGTGTCATAGCTATCAACTAACTCTTAAGATTCTCGTAACTTGAAATAAACATGGGTTTTTTCTTTCTCTGCAGAAATAAAAGAATCTTGCACTTTTGCAAAGACACAACTAGAGGATTATGAAGCACATCTCCATTTCTAGCTGGTTGTCTCAGCTGGGGCTCCCAGAGTATGGGGCTCTTTTTGATCAACAGTATGATGGGGTAGAGGTAAGAAATCAGATTTTAATGAGAAAATTGCTCATCTCATTCCAAGCTATAGCAGTTAAAATATCTCTAACCACTCTTTAGGATACGAATATTCAAAATGTGTTCTAGGAAACTTTGGTGTATTAAATAACTTGCTTCAGAAAGGCCTAAAATTCACAAATAATATGTATACGAGCCCAAACAATGTTTCCCATTTTAGAAAAGCAAATCCAGATGTATGTTTGGGAGTGAGGGAGTACTTAATCTTTCTGGGGGTGTTCAGATCTTGCTTCCAGCGTAACCCAAAGGGTTTCACCCTGCATTATATTGCAGTATTTTCACCCAATTTTGAATGCTTGAGGGGAGACTTGTGTTCACTTGGACATGAGAATATGTTGTGGTTAAATATTTCTTTTCAGTAACGTGAATGCCTCTGCTTGTAGCTGGATTTTGTTTTAAAATCTCTCTAATCACATTTATATAACCTCCAGTAGTTTACAGACAAAAACATGAACACGTATGACCAAACAGTATTAGAGGATGTTCAAATTGGTTAAAGTAATTAATGGGAAGGATCACATCAATTAGAATATGCTGGAACTGTACAAGTTTGCCTTAGCTGAGTAGGAAGGATGAGATTCCAACCTCTCCACCCAATTCTGAATTAATTGACTGCAATATACTCTTTTTTTCATTTCAAACTTGGTTTGCCACCACTAGAGCAGTGGTTCCCAACTTGTGGCCCATAGTCCACCAATGGTCCGCAAGAACTAAAATATGATCCACCTCACTGTTACTACACCATTACAACAAGAATCATAGAATCATAGAGTTGGAAGAGACCTCATGGGCCATCCATTCCAACCCCCTGCCAAAAAGCAGGAAAATTGCAACAGGTCTCTCGAAACCCTCTTATAGTGCCGAGGCAATGGGGATGTCAGGAGGGGTGAGGCTGACTACCCATGAAAGGCTCGACAACAAGCCTCTTGACTGCTGCTTCTCCTGCTCCTCCCTCCCCCTGAGTAGAGCCGTTCCATGTGGCACCTGGAAGTGGGAGCGCCTTGGTGTTCTTTTTTTCAGGCCTGTTCCTAGGGTTATTTGATTCAGAAAATTGCGTTAGATAGACCACATCAGCTCTAGATTATTATTTTATGGTTTTCTGTGGGTAAGCAGGTGGTTACTACCAGATGGTATATGTTCTGTATCAGAAAGTAGAGCTGATGTGGTCTATCCAATGCAGTTTTCTGAATCAGCACCCCAAATAACCAAACCGAATCAAAAATTTGCCAAAAACCGATTTGTAACCCTTTTGGTACTAATGTTGGAGAGTGGTCCCTGATCAGAGTGGTCCCTGGTCAAGTGGTCCCTGGTCAAGAAAAGGTTGGAAACCACTGCACTCGAATAAGCTGAAGACAAAGGAGGAGAGAAAAATTGGGATGTTTTAAAATCAGCTGGGAAAGTGTGGTGACAGAGGATTAATCATGACTGTCCCCAGCATATCAGGACAGTTTGAATGTGTTTATATGCAAGAAATATGTTATCCTCTCAGATATTTATTTAACTACTTAATTTTATATGAGGTGTTTGTTCGTTGCTGCTCCATAAACTAGAAAAAGTGACCAAAAACAAATGCTGGATTGTCTGATTTGTTTGTTGAGAGGGGGGCAAAACAAAGTGGGGAAGATGCCTAATGGTACGCTCTGGTTTCTTTAGCCACTATTGTTACAGTCCTCATTAGGCTGACTTTTTGGAAGAGAGGGAATTTCTACTCCATAAAGATGATTCTGTTGTTTGCAAAATGGTCTTTCTCTGTCTCTCTCTGCTTCTCTCTCAGCACTTGCCTAGCCCAAGCCTGAAAAATATAACAGTATCCGAAAGTCCCAGGCTTAGCTTGCTCCCCGGGCGTAGCCCAACCAATCAGCTTAATGCATCTTTTTTTTCAGTTGACACACACACACTAACTGATTTCTTGCATGCTCCAACACTTTAGTACTTTCATTCATGGGGCAAACCTTCTATATGAGTATTTGTTTTTTAAAAAAATTGCTCAGTGTTTCCGCTTAGGCCCTAAGGCCAGGCAAGACCATTCAAGATAAAAACATGACTTCACTGTTAAATGGTCATATGAAACTCTTCCCATAACTGGGGTTTTAGGATAGAGGGCAGAGCCATGAACTCAATGAAAGTTTCATTGTTTACTTCAGTGAAATGTGAATTGCCTTCTAAGCCTGGAAACAAGTTGTCTATGTAATTTCTCTAAAATATCCTCAGCATATTCTCATGTCTGTTGAAAGACAAAGTAATCAGGGCTTTATTCCATGACCTCCCCATCCCCGCATTATTGTGAGCTCAGATTATGATTCTAGAAGGGGCTGCATGCCTTGAACTATGCTGCCTGTAATAGCACGCACATCTTCACGGTCAATGCCTCAGCAAGTTAAAAAAATGGATTAAAATTGAAAGTTGTATGATTAAAGGTGTTCTAGTTCTGTATATTGAATACTGTAAACTCCTCTGCATCTCAGTAGGACTGCTTCAAGAAGTAAGCAATTCAGCAGTCATAAATGTTATAGATTCCTAGTCGTAAATCACAATCATGTGCATGTTTATTCAGAGATATACCCCCTTCCCTCCATATTTAAAGGAACATGCTTCCTGTGTAGTACAGTTAGTCCTCCATATGCATGGATCCAGCATCTATGAATTCAACCATCCACAGCTTGAAAATATTACCCTGCAAAAAGTTCCAAAAAGCAAACCTTGTTTTTGCTATTTTATATAAGGTACATGAGTTTACTATGCAGCAGGTTAAACCGCTGAGTTGCTGAACTTGCTGACCAAAAGGTTGGCAGTTCAAATCCAGAAAGCGGGGTGAGCTTCTGCTGTTAGCCCCAGCTTCTGCCAACCTAGTAGTTCGAAAACATGCAAATGTGAGTAGAACAATAGGTACTGCAGGAAGGTAATGGCACCCCATGCGGTCATGCTGGCCACATGACCTTGGAGGTGTCTACATACAACACCGGTTCTTCAGCTTAGAAATGGAGATGAGCACCAACCTCTGGAGTCAGACACAACTAGACTTAATGCCAAGGGGAAACCTTCACTTTTTACCTTTATATGATTTTACTGTTCTAGTATATATAATGAGACTTGGGCATCCCCTGATTTTAATATCCATGGGGTGGGGGCAGTGGGGGGAGAAGCCCAGGAACCAAACCCAGTGGATACTGTAGGCCCAATGTGTACTTATGATCACCTAAGCCAGAATGAGAATAGTACGAGACACTGGATCAAAGATGGCAGTTGTGGGGCCACATTTGATACTTTGTGATTTCCTATTTGATCTTTGGTTCCATGAATGCCCCAAACCTCAAATTAGAAAAAAAAGGATCTGAAATTATTAAAACTGACTTCTGGCCATTTCAAAGATCCCTTTCAGCCACTATTGAGTCCAACAGTGTGGCCAACTGAGTGTCAGGACAAGGAGAAAATGATCCTCCAGCCCTTAGCATGTGACTATACTGCTCCACTGCTCTAAATGGTGATTAACTAAAAAAAACCCATCCTCCTTTACTATTGGCTTGGATGGCTACCAGTGATGAGAATTGTGAAGTAAAAACATCTGGAGGGCTACAGTGACCCTCCAGTGACCATTGCCTATGCACTGGCTCAGAACTGGAGATAAAGCAGCACATCCTGTGTATCTATAGGGCAAACTGTGCCATAAAATGCAGCCTGTGTTTCAGAGTCTAAGATAAAACACCCCTGTTAAGATAAGATGTGCAGTTTACTGTTTGCCCTGTTGCGTACCTTCTGTGAGCAAGTACAGACATGGGTTTTGGCACCAAAGTAGCTAAAGCAGATATTTACTAAGTTGGAGGGGGAAATGCATTCCCCTCCCAAGTTTTGTCTTGTTTTGATCAATAAGAGGCATATGTCGTATCTCACCCAGCATTTAAATCAAACAATGTAGTCTAATGAAAACATCATGATTTTGTTTTTGGAAATAAACCCCCAAGAGCTGGGATGTGCTGCAGAAACTTGTCAGCTTCCAACAGCCCACTCTTCTTGCTTAGGCTTAACTCTGCATATTACAGTGCTGGTCTTGAATGCAAAAAGAGAAAAGTAAGCATTTATTTTAAACCAGCATTTCTGGTCCATGTACTCCTCAGATGTAATTCATATTGTCCCTGGCTTGAAATATGTTATAACCCAGAGACCATCTGGGAGGTGCCTAGTTGAGGAAGGTCATTTACTTATTGTGGGAAGAAGGGCAAAGAATTCCAAAACATCTTCATATCCAAGGTCTAGTTCCTCTGTTATTAACAAATAATTTGCAGCTGGGTAACATATTGTGATCTGAACAGTTGTTACTCAATGCCTAGTCCTTTATATGTTTATGAGACAAAAGAACAAGATATCTAGTGCCAAGTGTAGTAAATTTAATAAAATAGCAAGTCCTTCTCATCGACTGAATGGCCATCTGAATGGCTGGATGGCCATCTGTCAGGGGTGCTTTGAATGCAATATTCCTGCTTCTTGGCAGGGGGTTGGACTGGATGGCCCATGAGATCTCTTCCAACTCTATGATTCTATGATTGTATGATGCTCCATCTCTTTGAGCCGATGCTGAATTGATCGTGGAGTGTACCTGCTACCTTGTAGTGATACTCTCTTGAACCTCTCACAGCTGGAAAGAGTTTCATTGCTACGTAACCAGTAATTAAACTAGTTTCAGTGATAGATCATGAAAAAGCAGCATCTGTTTCCAAAATATATTATGTGCTTTTAAGAATTAAATCTATCTTGTGCTGTATTTTTCTGTTGCTGGTTATATTTACACAGATGCTTTACAAATAATGATGCACATGTGGAGATTTGGAAGAAATCAGTTAGGCTATAGTAGAAAGCTATGTTTTTACTTGGCACTGGAATCACACCAGTTTCAATACCAACTGGGCTAATTCCAGAGGCCAATAGGATGCTGAAGGAAGGGTATTTCACTACTGGGATCTAGGAGTCTTAGGACCTTATCATACACACATACACACCCTGTGCCACAGAGTATTATTTGAGAAAACAGAAATGCTGGACCACTCTGACAACCACCATGTCAAACTACACAGAGAAGCCATTGAAATCATCAAGCACATGGACAATTTCAACAGAAAGGAGGAAACCATGAAAATGAACAAAATCTGGTTACCAGTATTTAAAAAACACCAGAATCAAGACAGTAAATAAAGGAACACCACTCAGAAACAGGGGAATAACTAACTATATCATAGTTTATGTTACAGAACTTTATATATAGCTAACTAAACAACAAGAGTGCTAAGAATCCCTGTTAGTGAATTGTGAAGATGTATTACTTTGGTGATGTTGCCAATGTGCATTAGTAAAGCCCAGTCCATATTGTCATTCCCCAACTTTTGCAGAATGTGGCACAGTTGCAAAGTGGTCTTTGCCATGTGCAGGTGGCCTTTGCCATGCACTGGTCCTAATTAAATGGCATGTCCTGTGCTTTATAACCCTAGAATTAAGATGTCAGGTCTTGTAAAAGATACCACAATAGGTCTTTTATGTGAAGCTCACCTTCCCTCAAAGCTGACTCCAAAGAATGCTCCTTTTAATGACCCTCAGACAAAGCACAGGGAAACAAAAGGGAGAAGGGAACAGATACTGAACTGATGAAGTTTCTCACAGTACTTTTTAATTACAGGTAAAGCGAGAGGACTGCACACTAAAACTAGCTGTTGAAAAACAGAAGCTTTTCACATTAATTGTTGGCACATAGTGATTTGGGGTTCTTAAAATATTTTATTTTAACCCCGGTAATACTTACAATATATGGTATTTTCCCCAATATTTTTTAAACCCACTCTCTAGTTTTGAGTCTTCTTGTGGAGAAAAAAAGTGGTATATAAATAAACATTATTGTCGAAGGCTTTCATGGCCGGAATCCATGGGTTGTTGTAGGTTTTTCCGGGCTATATGGCCATGTTCTGGAGGCAATTTTCAGCGAAACGTCAGGAGAAAAATTGCCTCCAGAACATGGCCATATAGCCCGGAAAAACCTACAACAACCCAAACATCATCATCATCATCATCATCATCATCATCATTATTATTATTATTATTATTATGGGAGTTAGTGTGGAACCATTTTGTTACTAGAGACAGAACAGGAAATCTTTTCGTACAATTACATTTTGACTGTAGTACCCAGCATCCCCATGTTAGATTCTGGAAATCATAAACACAACTTTAAGATTTCCATATTTTCAATTCTCTGTCACTGGAAGAACAAGTTATTTGTGCATTTGAGGAAGAATATCCTACAACCCCAATCTGTCATTTTCATGACATACAATGATCCAGCTGTGGTCCAACTTCATGAGTCCCTAAGATGTGACTGGCTTGTCATTACATTAACCAATCCTATTATATCTTGTAATGCAGATTCATGTCCCACAGATTTCATGGTTACTGGTGGGGGGGGGGGGTACACTAAGAATTGAATTAATGTCAGAATGTTCTGCTTTTCAACAGTTTTTTCACTTTTCTAATAATTTGAAAACACTGTGAGAAAGTTTTTCAGTCCAATATCAGTTCTCATATCCTTTTCCTGTGCTTTGTCTGAGGATCATTAAGCGATTTTTTGACATGAAACGGGACACTGCCGTACAGATGACAGAAAGAACTTTGTCCAATTTTGAGAGGTCTAGCATGATAGCTGAATGACTTATGGTTCTTCCAGGTGGACAAATATTAATTCTTATCTAGAGTTACAAACACCCAGCTTACAAACAACTCATAGTTGTTTGAGAAAACAGGAAGTGAGAGAAATCTACCATTCAGAAGGAAAATTCACTCCTGAAAGAGTTATTATCATGGGGAAAAGGAGTCTCCACGGAAGCTATCACCGATCCTTGTTTCCATAACAAGCCAAACTTGTCAAAATCCAATTATCACAGGGACGGAAAGTGAAGTAAAATCAACTGAATAGGGGCACAGACAGCAAAACAAACACCATAGGCCTGTTAAACTCTATAGTATCCAAAGCTAAAAATTATATATTTTTGGCTGGAGTTACACAGAAAAAATCCATTCGTAATTATTTGTAACATGGGGCTGCCTATAGTTTATTAATTTACTTATACACTGTCGAAAGAACTGATTACTTAATGATCTAAAAGTGTAGCTGATAATATTCTGGGTTGCTCATTTTATATGTATATGTGATCATTATTTGTTATGAAATGCTTCTATTCAACAGACAAATATCTGAAACAAGATGTTAGATGCCACTGAAAATATTTTCTAATAGCACAATTCTGTTTTTGTGTATTTAGAAGTAAATCTCATCTGTGTTCATGCATCCTGCAAAAGTATGCATAAAATTGCAGTCTTAAATTATCATTTAGTTTAAGAGCAAAATTTTTGGTTGCTGTTAAGATTTCCTAAACTGGCTTTATTGGTTTTTTTAATAGGATTTACTCCATCTGACAGAAGCTGAACTCCAGAGAATGGGCGTTGAGAATCAAATCCACCGGACACACATCCTTTCCAACATCTTGCTTCTTCAAGAAGCAGAAAGAAAACAAGGTAAGAGAAGTCTATTATATGGTTAGGACTTGTGATCTCAAATGGGATTAATAAAGCTATTTGAAAGAAAAGAGGAAAGTGAAAGAAGCATATAGTAGAACAGAGATGGCAAGCCACTTCTGTGAAGTCCAGGGTCTTCTTTATCATCTAATGGTATCTATTGCAATAAACCCCATAGTAAGATTTATGTCTTGTTGCCACAATGGCTTCAGCATCACTGGACAAGGTATATTCTGCATTGTTTCTTTCCCAGAACAACTTTTATTTTATTATTGTTTCCATTTAACTCTGACTTCTTCTACAATACAAACCAGATTATCTGCTTTGAACTGGATTATATGGCAGTGTAGACTCATGTAATCAATTTCATAGTGGGTAATGTGGATTTGATAATCTGTATTATATGGCAGTGTAGAAGGGGCCTCTGGTTTGCTCTCACGTAGGACATTATAACATGAGGACCTTATCACATGAGGCTCTAAAAATGGGTCTGGCATTGCAAACTTGTTTTGGGTTTCATGTGCAGCATGCCACTTTTCTCACACCAATCAGTTCCCCAAATGCTTGAAGAAAGTTGCAAATGCTTTTAGTTTACTACAACTGCTGGTACCTGTCTCTCCACTCAATGCATGCATTGCCTATTCACACATGCCCTACCTTTTCCCAGAGGAATTGTGCAGTCCCATACATTCAAAATCTCATGAGACTGGGGCTTTACAATTAAATACTTCTGTAAGTTCACAAGCATTCTCTCTCTAAATATTCATAAAAATTGGCCCCACTTGCTAACTTCATAAAATAATCCTTTTTGTGCAGAAATGTGTGGTGGTTTTTTGTGTGCAAATGTATATTCCTCAGCAACCTCAGGAGCAGTGGTCTAAAACTATACAAAGACCCTTATATTCTCTAAGAGTGGGGGGGGGTCATTTAAATTATTCATTCTTCCATGCAGAAACTTTGGAAACTTTACATTCCTACTAGTCCATCCTTCACATGGTGGTCTGGTGTGTTGTATAACTGTTAAGTGTATAGTAATTATAAACTTTCATCTGTGCATGTATATTGACAGATGCACATTGGTATTTTCTCTTTTTTTCTCCTATTTTGGAATGATGCATTGAGTCTTGGGATTGTTCTCTCTTTTTAATATTGTTGACAGGGCATGGGGTTTTTTTTCGGCCATTCAATTTGATTTTAGTCTTAAATTGTTATGCTATTCTAAAGTGCACAAATATAAATTGTATATATTTGGAGGTTGCTGATTCCTGTTGTCCTGCATCTTGTTAGAAGACATGAAAAGGTATGATGGACTAAATCTAGACTACTGTTGGTTCAGAAAAAAAAATGCAACTACCAACCACACTGATAGTTGCAGCTTTGCCAAGTTTACATTGCATAGCAATGTAACCCTGACAGCTCTGAGCAGTCTGCTTCCCCAGTGCCTTTTTCACAGTCCTTTCCTTCCCACTGCCATTGCCAATAAAGCTCTGGTGCAGTTGCGTGTGCTCCAACAGGATTCTTGTTAGAGTAAGCAGTGACTTCATTTTCCAGTAGTGTCTGGTTTGTATACAAACTTTGGCACAGGTTTTCCTACTGGCAATCTTTCCTTCTCTTTGCATTATTCTGTGACTCTGCATCTGCTTTACTGGAAGGGCCCAATTTAAATGGGATAGAGGCACTACAACTCATTGTACAAAAAAAGAAAAGAAAAAAGGAACCAAACAAATGTGACCATACTGTCATCCACAATAACTTCAACCCACTTGAGAACTTGAGAACTTTTTTAGGAATGTAGAGGAGAACTCTGAAAAAATAAAACCTGCAATCCAAGTCCTTGGAGATAAGTGAAGTATGAAAACTTGTGTGTGTTGGCCAGTACATCCTTATCGAATGAGTTTCTGCATACTTTGTAGAATGTATGACATTCTTTTTAATTTAGGTTTTATTTCACGCACAGGTTTTTTTTCTTGAACATTACAGAGGACTTCAAATGGATAGGCGAGATATTTGTTGGTTTTGTTACTGTTGCTGCTAATGATTTTGTTTGGGTGCAAACTGCTATTTTAAGTATATCATTCTATTTGGTGCAATTTCCAATTTGTTGATCTTTTAACAATTGGCTACCATAAGACTCCTTTCAACTGGCTATTGCCCCTAAGGCTCAGTATTACTGCGTGATTTTATACCACAGGGAGGACTGAAGTGTAGGTGACTTAAGAACCGTGTTTGGGAAAGTGAACAGTGAGGCCCCTTCTACAGTGCCATATAATCCCAATTATCAAAGTAGATAATCCACATTATCTGCTTTGAACTGGATTATATGATTCTACACTGCCCCATCTGGCATAAATCTTTCCATGTGAAGCAGGAGAATATAGCACTGAGACATGCAGAATAATCACAGGATGCCTAAAACCTATACCTACTGATAGACTTTATAAACTAGCTGGCATTGCCCCCTCTGATGTGCGACAGTAAGTTGCTGTCAATCGCGAGGGAACTAAGGTTGAACACTGTGAAAGCCACCCACTGCATGGCTAGCAGCCTCCTCCCAGTAGACTCAAATCAAGGAAAAGTTTAACGAGAACCACCACGCCTCTAAATGTTCCTCCAACAACAGCAAGGATACCCCTCTGGGCAGCAAAATCAAGCAATCCCAAATGAATGGGGCCCCATGAGGGTATTCAGAGGCAAACCAAAAATGGGCCATTTGGAAATCCCTGAACAGACTCAGAAGTGGAGTGGGCAAATCAAAAGACAACCTGGCAAAATGGCACTACTAAGAAGAATCCTCCACCTTGTGCAACTGTGGAGCAGAAAAAACAATTCTGCATCTGTACGCTTGCCTACAATGTCCTACCTAATGCACAGAGGAAGAACTGTTTAAAGCTACAGACAATGCAATCGCTGTTGCCTGTTTTTGATCTAAAACTATTTAGCTGCTTGTGCTCCCTTTATTTTATCGGTTTTATACCTATTTATTTATGCAATGCTTTTGACACTAAATAAATAAACTGCCATATAATCCAATTCAAAGCAGATAATCTGTATTGTATATGGCAGTGTAAATGGGGCCTAAGTGAGAAGGTACAACATGGGAGAGGCCCTAATAGAAGAGGAAAGGTTAGGCACTTGAGTGCGGTTCCTCCTTCCTTACAGTTGTTCTTCTAGCCAACAAATTCTTGGTTGCCTGGATGAGCCAGCTAATGTAGCCTCGTTGGATGAAGCATGTAGAGTCCGTCTTTTCTATCCAAACTCTATATTACAAAGATGTAGATCCAAATCACAGGAAGGTGGATTTACACTATGATCTCCCCCAATATTTTCAGGTGCTCTTTGCTTGAAGTGCATTATTGAATATGTGTATCTGTCAGTTAAGTATACAGAACTGGAACTCTGCTCAACAGCTATCCTAAATAAACTGAATGGGATGATCTCAAGAGTCAAGCATACTACTACATTTCTCCATACTGATTGATGTGAGCAGCTTAAAAAAATAAAGGGAGAAACATGGAAACCAACAGCTAATCCAAAAAATTATCTCACGTGAAGTGCATTGTAATTAAAGTTTGGAAATAAAGTAGGGCATCTCACCCACTCTTGTTATGGTTGTAAAAAAAGGACCTGTTTTTGCTGTTCTGGGTTTATTTCTCTGATTAATTAAACCCATAATTATAGCTTGTCATTCCTTAATGACTCAGTCAAGCGATAAAATCGTTAAAGTTTGGAAGAGATGCGTGATTTTAGCCAATTTTACACTATTTAATTGAAACCAAGACAAATTCCAGGTTGGAATGACAGCTTGATAGTTGTCCCCTGTGGATGATCCACTGCAGGTGGAGAGAAACTTCACCTGATGATCACCGGCCAAACTGCATTTGGACCAGCAAAATGATCTCCTTGGATGAAAGGGAACCCAGGGATAAGCCACAAAGTTTTGCAGTCCCTTTCCAGCTGATCATGTTGGAACTTTTTTGATGGATGATTCTAGGTGCAGAGGACAGACCTGTAGTTTCAATCAGCCTCACTGAAATAGTAGCTTGCCTAAGAAGTTCAGGAGAATTTTCTTAATCAAATGGAAGAGAGACTTTCTGACTACTATAGGGAGGTTTTACATCACTATAGTAGCGGTTGTATCCAATGTGCCTGGGGGAATCTTTCTTCTAAATACAGTAGATCTGTTTTGTCTGGCAAGTTTGACTACAGGCTGTTTTCACAGCAAGGACTAGTAGCTGTTATCTCTTCCCCAGCTTATAATGCTGTGTTTTTGTTTTGTGTCTGCCTTGGATAAAGCGCTGTGTCTAGGAGCAAGAGTGCATGATCAGTTACTCTGGGAACTCCACTTTTCAGTATTTGCATCATCTCATTGTTTTCTTGCAGCCTCTCATTTGCCAAAACTTTGCTTTACTTGCTTGTGTAAAGTTCTGATAGTAATGCAATAGCAGAGATTTAAACTGACTTTGAACTCTCTCTTCCCATGAATCCACAACACTAGTGCCTTCAAGTTGCCAGTCAACTTAGGCTCCATCTACACTGACCATTTAATTTGCATAGCTAGTTCAAAGCTAGCCTCAAACTGTAGTGGTCAGATAACAAAAGCCCACAAGTGAGAGCAAAGAAAAGTAATTAATGCACATCACTCACCATATGGACCTCAAACTGGTACATAGATTTCCTATGTAATCATCAGTAGAGCAAAACCATTTTTTTCAATACTGGATTGAAACTGCAGTAAATGGTCAGTATAGATGTGCCCTTAGTGTGGCCCCATTAATTACATGGGTTTCTTTAAATGTCAGGAATACTCAGAAGTGGTTTTGTCAGTTCCGTCCTCTGAAATAATAGCCTATAGCCCCTGATATTCGTTGGCAGTCTCCTATCTAAATATTAACCAGAGCTGACCCTATTTATGCTTCCAGGAACAGGCAGGATCTGGTGCCTTTAGGATATTTATACCCCATAATTAGTTTATGGTTATTTTAATGAACCAGAACTAAGGC